GAAAAAGTATGCTGCCTAAAAAATGTATCATCCCCCCCCCCATAAACTATGAAATCGTACACAAATCCTGAAATGCCGGCTCTAACAAATATTTTAAAGCCCCATTTTTTTGGTTTTGATTTTATATACTGTCGTCGTGAACCAGCTTTTTCCCTTTATAAGGGACCATCATCTCGTCGATACTCTGGCGTCTTTCTTCTTCTTTAATAGAACAATTTCTTCTCACTATATCCAAAACTGGGCGAATTCGGTAGTACTTATCGTTGTTTATATGATCGATATTTGCGAAGTGAATATACCGGCGAATTTTCTGATATTGTTTGAGAGGCATTATTTCTGATATTTGATTGTATCTGAAGTTTACACTCCAGTAGTCCAAGTATGATGGCATAGCTACTATACCCATCAAAATCTGTATCGCTATGAAGTCACTTATCTCATCTTTGGTAACGCTTATCGACTTGCCTGTTTGCTGAACGGAATAAAGATTTGTATTGTTGACAATCAACTCGAATGGATCGTCTGAAAAAAACATTTTGAAATATTCTAATGGTGACTTTAATTCATCCACATCCAAAAAGGAACATTTAATTCTTCCATTTTCGGGAATGTTCACAGGATATTGAAATTCTTCTTTCGTCCAGTGGTATTCAAGCAAATTCTGTCGTTTCGTGCGTTTACTTTGTAGTTTGCCTTTAGGTTGGTTAGTATTGTCGTTATTATCTTTAGATGGTCCAGGTATCTGATGTTGTGATCGTGTTTTTAGAGGACTCAAAGCAGATTTAGGTATACTGCAAATAGATTTAAGCGTACTATAAGCAGATTGATGTGTTGATAGCTCTGGTTTTAAATGTTCAGTTTCGGATGCTGAATCTGTATCTGATAGTGTATCAAAAATTCTTGAACTTCAGGAGGTGAACTTTCGACCTCAGAACTTTCATCGGTTTTAGAACTTTGACTTCTAGATGGATCCATATCATAACTTTGAGTCCTAGATGGTTTGGTATAACTTTCATTTTCTTCATTGCTCGAATCATCCATATCAGAACTTTGAGTTCTAGATGGTTTAGTATAACTTTCATTTTCTTCATCGCTCGAATCATCCATATCAGATGAAGGTGGTGGAAGTAATGCTAAAATTTTTTCGGACCTTGATGATGTTATATTGGTATTTATCTGAAACCAAGGAAACGCTATACTTACCTATATAACTAAATGAATTCATTTTGAAACGTTTCATTAAACAAATTTTAATAATGAAATTGGAAATGAAGTGTGGGATACGTACAAAACAAAAATATTTCACAATACTGAATATATGGAAAAGAGAAACTATAGGATACATAACAAAAAAGTTCCATTAAGCTATATCTTTGGCAAAGTAGATTATAGGATACAAAACAAAAATGCTCTTTTATGCTGTATCTTTGGCAAAGTAGATTATAGGATACAGCTTAAAAAATGGTTCGGTATCGTCACTTTTGAATATTTATATATAAATATTCATATATGTATGATTACAACACATCATCATACTACAATTTCACTTCCTGTATTAAAACAAAATACTTATTTTTACAGTAATACTGAAAAAAACTTATCAGCCTTTTTCTAATCGGCGTTCACTAGGCAACCATTTTATAAACAATTGTGAATAACTTTGGATGATCACTATAGATGGCAGCACTATTAGCTTTCTGAGTTTAGTAGGCGTATACGTAATACATTTAACAGACAATAATGAGTAAATTATTTAAGAGATAGACAATTTGAATATTTGAAAATGACGTAGTCTATAAGATACAAATCCAAATTAAGGGTTAAAATCATTTTAGAGATGTTCCATGGGACATCTCGACAATCGCCTTTATACTGTCACTTATAAAGAAGGCTTTTTTGCTTGTAACGACAACAAAAAGTTGGATTGTTCCTTTATCGGTTTAGCCAAAGCAGTCTGAACATCACAAGCCATGTTGCTAAAATTGACAATCTGACTGGGCATCTTTCATAGAGATTTTAATTATTGGAACAACGCAATACATGAAGATACCTACAAAAATTATGACATTATATCTGTAAAAGAAGATTTGGTAATGAAACTAAATATTGTGATAGACTAGTCTAAACAAAAAAAATCGCACAAATCACAAGACGTGCCCTCATGTTTTATACTGATGGAATAAAATATACTAGTATAAATAATTTTTACTGGTCATACGCCAGGCTATAAATGCCATCGGAAATACTCAACGATATTTCAATCAGAACTTTTTTTTTTATTAAAAAGAAACCTTGCCGCATCCACCAACAGGTTATCAGCGACGTTACTCAGTGAACAAAACTTTAAATCTGATACAAAATATTGATTGACCTTAGATAATTAAGTAAGTTTTTTACGTGACAGTTTTCTCCTAATAAATCTGGTAGAGTATTAGATATATTGTTTATTGCACGTTCTCTATTTTGGACACTCAATTAACAAATGGACGTCGGTAAGAGTCGTATCACATATATCGCACAGGGGGCGTTCACTGGCTGAAAGTAAATAAGGGTGTGTGATCTTAGTGGGTCCTATACGTAGGAGCGTTAGAACCGTTTGAATAAACTGTACTAGCACTAGTTTTCCACTGTCGTGTATTTGGTTTTAGCGATCCGAGCACTACTGTCTTCCTCTTTATTGCCGATCATTCCTATATGCGATGGTATCCATATAAATTTAGGAGTTATATAATTCTCATGGGCGATTTATAGTTCAGTTTTTATTTGTTGCTCCAAGGGCTGTTTAGCATACAAATTCTGTATTGCAAGAAGAAAGCTGAACGAGTCGGTGAGAAACAGAGGTTTTGAAATTCTTAGGTCTGTACTATTCTGCACATAGATTCTTTTTGTGCTCCTTTAATGTACACTACCAAATCATCAGCAATGAGAAAAGTTTTGAAAGGTTTGTGTAATTTGTTTAATATGTTGCTTATGGCAACTAGGAATAGGGTAGGACTAAGTACTGAGCCTTGTGGGGTACCGTTTTCTGTAGTATAAAAATCGGAATAAACGTTATTAACTCTTACTTGGAAAGAAACTTACCTATTTCTTTTAAGAAATAGGTAAAGAAATAATAAATAAGACTTACTCACAATCAATTTAATTTAACCATTCAGACGACCGACCGGTTTCGCTTTCTACAATATGCTGTCGTTTGAATAGTTAAATTAAATTTATTGTGAGTAAGTCTTATTTATTATTTCTTTTCCTATTTGAAATGGACACTCACACAAGCAGCATATTCATCTTTTAAGTAATTTTCGATATAGGCTTCTAATATTGGATGCGTGTAATTTTTTAATGATGTTGAATTTCCAACACGTATTGAAGGCTTTTTTAGATCGAAGAAAATAGCTTTGTCCATTTAATTCATTGCTAATGCTTCTTGGACATTACTTTGTAAGTCTACGATATTGTCTATTGCTGACCGGTTACGTCTGAAGCAGTTTTGCTCTGGTAAGACGAAATGAGATTTTTCCAGTGTCCACATAAGCCGGGAATTGACTATTTTCTCCATTAATTTAGCCATGGCACTAGTTAGAGAGATGGGTTTGTATGATTCTGGATCAAGTCAAGGATTTCTGGATTTGAAAAACCGCAAAATTGTGATTTTTGCCCATATAGACGGATATTGTCGTTGTTGCCAAATTTGATTGAAAATTTGTAGAAGATGTTGTTTTGCTAAGATTGATAAATGCTTTAGGAATACAACATGAATATTATCGGATCCTGGGAGTTTTTCATATCTTGTAAGAAATTATTTAGTTCTATAATAGTAAGAGGTTGATATAGGGGGCTTTCGTAGGATTTTTCTAGAGACAAGATGGTGCGTTCTTTCTTTAGCTTATAGTCCCTAAATTAATGTCGTAGTTTTCGCTAGAGGAATGTTGCTCAAAGGTGGAAGCAAGAGTTTTAGCGATGTCTTGTAAAGAACTTCTAGTAATCGATTTTTATGCTTAAAAGATAAAACAACGTCTCAATACAACTAAAATATTTATTGCCTCACAGTCAAGCTGCACTGTCCATAACTGAGTCGATAAAAACGTGGAACTGCAAATAGTCCCTTAAAAATCTGGCAGGGTGCAATAAAGTATCTTTGCTGCTGGTGCCAGGGCTTTTTATCTCTTCTGCTTTTTTGTGTACTTAAAATGTGTGTTAAACCGAGTTGGTTTTTCTAAAAATCAAATTTTTCTTATTTTCCACAACTTTTCCATAGTAACATTTTTCTTGACCCGCCGTTATACCTTTTTTGCAGATTCTTTATCGTGAAAACTAACAAACTTTCAAGTGGCATGAAGGAGACAATGACAGACACTGACTTGTATTAATATTACATGTTTAGGTCATAAAATCTCATCTTTCAGTACTCTCAAAGCTCGCCCTCACCCAACACTCTCGCTGCCTCGCCCTCGAGTGCAGAAACAAGACAAAAGGAACACAGTATCTACCAAAAAAGCCGCATTTTTAGTGAAACATAAAAAAATAATAAAACAACTTTGACAGTTAATTACTGTTAAACTGGGAATAAGCCACAATTAAAGATAAAAATACGTTTATTGACGTTTCAATTTCCACTTCGGAAATCGTTCTCAAAATTCAATATGCTTATTCCCAGTTTAACAGTAATTAATTTACAATGCCACAAGAAAATAGCTTCAGAATAACTTTGACAGTTGTTGTGACTTTTGGTTTCCCGAGATTTTAATGGTCTTATGGTAGATCTACAACAGTAGCCTTGAATTATCTTGAATATTTGTTTTTCATGTAATTCAGAACTTTTGAAAAATACGAGTATATATTGAGACTATATAGCAAATTCTCGATGATATCTAGTTCAGGTATCTTTACTATCTTCAAACTGTAGAGCGTCCGAAACTGTTTAATATTTAATATTTTAAAAATTATATAGAGTTCTCCAGAAATATTTTTATCCTATGTTATCGAATATTTTTTATTTACAGGGAGGATGCATCAAGTGCGAAGGAAGGGATGATACCGCAGAGTTCGCAGACATTCGAAGCGCCATGAAAGTTCTTTTATTCTCAGATTCGGAAATATGGGAAGTAATGAAACTCCTAGCAGCCATTTTGCACATCGGAAACATCAAATACAAAGCCACCGTTGTAGATAACTTGGACGCGACTGAAATTCCCGACCCAACAAATGTCCACAGAGTTGCTAATCTGCTAGGAGTTCCCGCTCAACTACTAATTGATGCACTTACTCGGAAAACCCTTTTCGCTCACGGTGAAACAGTAGTTTCGACCTTGTCCAGAGAACAAAGTGTTGATGTAAGAGATGCTTTTGTAAAAGGTATCTACGGCAGAATGTTCGTTCACATAGTGAAAAAAATTAATAAAGCCATTTATAAACCTAAAGAGAGGCAAAGAAGTTCAATTGGAGTTTTAGATATCTTTGGTTTTGAAAATTTCGATCACAATAGTTTTGAACAGTTTTGCATAAATTTTGCAAACGAAAATCTTCAACAATTTTTTGTAAGGCATATATTTAAACTTGAACAAGAGGAATATAATCTGGAAGGTATTAACTGGCAGCATATTGAATTCGTTGATAACCAAGATGCGCTTGACTTGATTGCAATTAAGCAATTGAATATTATGGCACTCATTGATGAAGAAAGTAAGTATATATATTTAAAGACATTAAAGTTTACACTACCACACTTTGCACAATATTTTCCATTTTTCTCAGACGTTACCTCCCCGTCTCTTAAACCTCATTTTAAGATGATACTTTGCAGTGGCGGCTCGTGGCTTGAGAGGCAAGGTCGGCAAGGTATTTTTTGTCTCCACAGATAGGTATACCGTCCAATAAAGACTTCAATCATCATAGGAGATTTTTTGTTTTCTCGTTTTTTGTTTTTTTTTTGTTTTTTTTGATTTTGATGTTTGCCCCTATTTGTCGAAACTAAAATGCAAGGCCAACAAAAAAGTTTGTTTTTTATTTCACTCCCAGTAAGCCATGAGTACTTGCTGTACCAATTATCTGAAAATGATCTATTACTTCCCTTACCCGCACTAATATTTATAAGTCGAGACATTTTAGGCAAAGGACGCCCTTTATTTTTAATAACAATTTGTTCTTCGTATGGAATTGATGAAAACCCATTATGCAAAATATAATTTACAATATCAGACTTATCAATACTTACAGTTTCTCCCATGGCTTGCATTTTTTAGGTGTTTACTGAATTTGTTTACACTTTAATTAAAAAAAAAACTTCTAATATGTCAAAAAACCCTTTAACCGTTAAATATTTACGGCAGACGTAACGTATCACAATATTACTTTAGAAAATAAAAATAAATCACAAAAAGATAGGCTAGTTCGTGCACTGAATATAACTTCAGTTTACTACAAAAATGAAATAACATTTCGTCCCACGCTCGCAATGTACAGTTCGCGACCAATCACCAATCCAAATGAAACATCGGCAAATGTAAATATGCCGGACTTAGTAATTAAGTTCATATGGAAAGAAATGTATATTTGGTTGCTAATCAACCAATATTCCGTTGATTTTTACAAGTAAAGTCAAGGTTGGGATCGGCTAGCCGAAAAAAACAAAACGTGCATTTTCAAGAATTCGTAGGCGGATGGATGTCTCCGATATCGGAACATTTATTTGAAAAGTGTCTACGCAAGGATCACTTAACGCTCAGATTGGACGAATTCTTTTAAAAACCATGAATAAAATTTAGTCTTTATTATCTCACAGATATTTTTTTAGTTCACAAAAACAAATGACATCAACTGATTACCTGCCACAATTATTTATTGAAATACTGATTAAATTAAATATTAAAATAATCTATAATATCTATAAAGATGTGGGTCGGCACTGCCGACCCTGCCGCCCCTGACCGGCCGCCACTGATACTTTGTTTTTCTAGAATAGGGCTCCACTTTCTTATACATTAACATTAATGTTCAGATAGGTACGTACCTACCTAGATGGCCAGTTTCACTTTCTACAATTTGCAAAGCATCTTCAGGTCAAACGGTACCAAGTAAATTAAATGCTGAAATTATAAAAGCCCATATTAGGGTGCTGTCTTATAAAGATAAACATAAGATAAAATAATATAAAATTACAGTAATTATGCCAATATTACATGTCTGTGTTTTTTTTAATATGAATCTGTTTAAGCAGACACAGTACGACCCACAAATTGGTATAAAATACCTATTTGAAATGGACTCACACAGGCAACACATTCATGACTAATGTTCAGGTTTGTATACTTGTACTACAAACAAAAAAAGGGACCATAAATGAGATGGCCGATATATGCAAATTGCTTCGATAGAGAGGATTGGAAAAAGAAAGAAAAGCCCTATATCCAAAGATGGTTATTTGGGGCTGTTGTAATGGGGGCTGTGGCTGTGGAATTTTAAAAGTCTATCTTATGACCTCTTTGTAGATGATGCTGCTCCAGAGCAGAAATTTAATAGGAATTACGGACCGAAATTTAATGTTCGTAGATTCGGTTTTGAATCCTAGATTGGTTTGACATATGTAAGATCGACTTTCATGAACTCTATGATGTTCGTTGCGAATGTTTTCTTCGACGAAGGATAATGAGGAGTATAAAAATTATTTTTAAATTTAGAAGTTCACCTATTTTGTTAATGACGCTCTCGATATGTGAAAGAAAAGCTTTGATACGATCTGTGTGATTCTTTAGATTGAGTGTGAGTGGGAGATAGATGTTTGTTGTTGCTCGTATTGAAATGATTAGCATGGTACCCGTTTTGCATGAAGGCTTCTTTATACATGCAACTTCTTTGGATATAGGTACTTGCATTGCCGCAAATATGTATTGATCTGGAAACATTGGTTACTAAAATAGTTTGTGAAGATGGATCATGTGATTTAGAGTGCAAGTAGCGATTGGTATGGATGGGTTTCGGAAATAAGTGAAAGAAACCTTGAGTTTGATTTTTCGTTAGCAGGAAAGATAATGATAACTTAATTTCTATCACAGTGAACTGGATACTCGCTGAGCTGAACTATTTTGTCAGTATATCGGAACAAACATGTGGGTTTGAGAATTGATGAAGACTGATGTTGTTTGCAAAATTTATTTTTTAAGATTAAATAAGTGTCGAATATTCAATGTTTAGTGAAAAGTAAGTGGCCTTGTTGGGTATTCTGTTTTGCTTACGAAAATTTAGAGTTTTACCTATAGAATTGTTTATGAAAAGTGAAACGATCTTGAAACTGACTAGAAAATCTGAGGGTAGGATACCAAAAATGTCTCATCTTTCGTCAGAAATTCCTTTCATTTTATAAATTTATAAACAAGCTTATAAAGAGTGAATTGTATTAGTGTAATACATATAAATATTTCTAACGTCGCTCGATAGTAGCCTTATTAGCTTGTATTTACGGCTTAATTTAATCGCTACCAACACTGACTATTTTTGCTCGTTAGAGGTCACTAATTGCATACTTTGAATTATTTTACTATAATTGCCAACTATATGGTGCTTTTTAATCTATTTCAGACTTGTCATAAGTCTTTCTGGTGAAAGGTAAACCTTGAAACATGTGTAGAAGAATGGTAATTGAATTGGAACTCAAACGTCCAAATTTATTTTCTTTAAATTCTATATATTTAGACCTCCTCTTGCTTTTTAATGACGATTTAAATCTCTAGGTTATAATTAGTTAATTTATTGATATTTTTAAGGTAAATTCCCAAAAGGAACTGATCAAACCTTCCTGGCAAAACTACACAAGCAGCATGGTCGACACAGAAATTATCTCAAGCCTAGATCTGATATAAATACTAGCTTTGGTTTAAACCATTTCGCAGGAATTGTGTTTTACGATACACGTGGATTTTTAGAGAAAAATAGAGACACTTTCAGTCCAGATTTACTACAACTTATAACTATAAGTGGCAACAAGTTTTTACAACAAATCTTTGCCGATGATATTGGAATGGGATCTGAAACTAGAAAGAGAACTCCAACATTATCTACTCAGTTTAAGAAAAGTTTAGATTCGTTAATGAGAACATTGTCTAATTGTCAACCGTTCTTTATTCGGTGTATAAAACCTAATGAGTTCAAAAAACCAATGATGTTCGATCGAACGTTATGCTGTAGGCAGTTACGGTATTCTGGTATGATGGAAACTATTCGAATCCGGAGGGCAGGTTATCCTATCAGACATAGCTTTGCTGAATTTGTGGAGAGATACAGGTACTATACAGTTAAATATGATAAAACGGACATAGTTCGTAATGTTTCTTTTTCTAGGTTTCTCATTTCTGGGGTTCCCCCAGCTCATAAGACTGAATGCAGGAGTGCAACTGCAAGAATCTGTTCCTTAGTTTTAGGAAGATCTGACTATCAACTCGGCCATAATAAAGTTTTTTTAAAAGATGCTCATGATCTGTTTCTGGAACAAGAGAGAGATAGGGTGCTCACCAAAAAAATCCTTATTTTACAAAGGTAAGTTTCTAAAAAAATTTTAGGAGCAGACTAATCACAAATTAGTCTGATTGTTGAAAAATGGCAGTTAGGTATACACCTCCATGTTGTCCACTTTATCTACAATATGAAGAGACAAGTTGAAAATTTTGAAAAATTTGAAAAGTTTATTCTTTGTAAATTATCAAAGTTTAACCAGTGTTCCGAAGCACAAAAAATATCATACTTATTATCTTTAAAAAACGCATTTAATTCATCTACCTTATTAGTAATACTTTGTACATTTAAGTAAAATACAGAGCACGTTTCTTTAGTAATACTTTAGTTATTGTAGTTATTGTTGGTGCATGAGGGAACGACAAAATTAATTAACATATGTAGGTACCCTTGAGCCATAGTTCACAATTTAGAAGTCTTTGAGACGATGCCATAGGAACTACAATTTTAAATGAAGCATAACTTCTTAGATATCTCGAGTTTAATTGGTTCATAAATTCCGCAGCCATGATAATATTCTCCTTCTACCGGGTCCTCGCTTACCTTTGACTTTACCTTGCAATATAGACTGCAGCAGGGAGTAACGGTGCTGATTTCTCATAGCGTGTCTCAGATATTGCAATTTTATGCGTTTGATCGTAAACACAATCTCTGGTTCCTTCTTCATTTTTCCTAGAACTTCCTTGTTCGTGATCCTTGCTGTCCATGATATTCTCAGCATTCTTCTATAAAGCCACATCTCAAATGCTTTAAGTTTTTTAATAGTGGTGTCTGTAAACGTCCATGCCTCCGCCCATACAATAACACAGAGAAAACATAGCATCTCAAATGTCTCATTTTTGTATCTAGGGATATGTTGTCACTTTTGAAGATGGCGCTCATTTTGTTAAAGACCGTTTTTGCCTTTCCTATGCGGCACTTTATTTCCTGTACATTGATTCACTGTTCGTTTATAATAGTTCCCAGGTAGCAATACTGTTTTACTCGCTCTATCTGCGTCCCATTAATGTATATATGAGCCCCGTTTATATTCTCCTTGCTGATAATCATTTGTTTCGTTTTGTGGGTATTAATGTTTAGTCCGTACTGTTGACTGTACTCGTTTATTCTGTCCATCAGCCTCTGAAGTCCCTCTAAACTATCTGCTATCACCATGGTGTCGTCGGCATATCTAACATTGTTTACTCTTTCACCATTTAGAAGGATGCCTTCGTCTATTCCGTAAAGAGCCTCGTTAAAAATTTTCTCTGAGTACATATTAAATATCAACGGCGATAGGATACATCCCTGTCTAACTCCACGTAGTATTTTTATGTGATCTCTTTCTTCTCCGTTAATTTTCATGTATGCGGTCTGATTCCAGTAGAGTTCTGAAATTATTCTGAGGTCTTTGTCATCCAGGTCTGCCTCTTTTAAAATGTTTATCATCTTTTGATGTTGAACTCTGTCAAATGCCTTTTCATAGTCGATCAAGCACGCGTATACGTCGCAGTTAACGTCCCTGCATATTTGAATCAGTACCTGTATTCCGAAAAGTGCCTCTCTGGTACCCACTGCGTTAATGAAGCCGAACTGTCTGTCCGATATTTGTTCCTCGCACATCTTATAAATTCTTCCATGGGCGACTCTAAAAAACAGTTTCAACATGTGGCTCATTAGGCTGATTGTTCGATGTTCTTCGCACTTTTTAGCCCCCTGTTTTTTTGGTGTTGCTATGAATTCTGATTCTAGCCATTTATCAGGGATGATTAATTAGTTAACCTCAATATTTTCATCAATTGTCTTAAGATTATTTGTTAGTTCTTCCAGAAATGTATCTGGAGGCCAGTTGGTTGTATGATAGTACTTCATAGTTCTTTTTACAGCCGCCTTAAGTCCACTTGTTTTGGAGTTACTAGTGTCTATTAGAACATTTTTTGGTTTTCTAAATGTTATAGGTTTATTAGTATTGATGTCATTTTGAGCATCAAGAATTTATTTATCACTCAGTTTAATTACATTAGAACATAAATTGACAGCTTGTGCTTCATGAACTGCTGCTACATTAGAAAGTGTTATTTCAGGTTGTTTTATATTGGTAGCAGTTTTGACAGCTCTTGGCACTTGAGTTACTTATTTATAAATTTCCTTGTCTGATTTGAAGATGCTTTGATGGTCTAGAGTGTTTCTATCACTTTGTTTTAGACTATTTATTTCATGGTTTAGTAATGATACTTAATCTTGTAAGGCTTTAATAACAATTATTTATTAAATAAGCATATATTAGTATTTATAGTATAGTATAGTATTATTATTATTAGTATAGTATTTATAACATATTATTTTCAACAAATTTTTTTAGGTCAATACGTGGGTGGGTATACAGAAGACGCTTCCTTCGCCTAAAAGCTGCAACGATAATAATCCAGAAGTACTGGAAGGGTTATATCCAAAGACAGAAATACAAAAAGATGCGCTTGGGCTACACTCGTCTTCAAGCGCTCATTCGCGCCAGAGTACTTTCCCATCGGTTTAGACACTTACGAGGACATGTGGTAGGACTACAGGCACACGCCAGAGGATACTTGGTAAGGAGAGAATACGGATACAAAATGTGGGCCATTATTAAGATACAGTCGCATGTGAGAAGGATGATAGCTCAAAGGAAATATAAAAAGTTTAAGTTTGAACAAAAACGCCACGTGGAAGCTCTTCGGCTGAAGAAGAAAGAAGAGAGAGAGTTAAAAGACGCTGGTAACAAGAGAGCTAAAGAGATAGCAGAACAGAATTATAGGTATGTACTAATATTTTTTAAGCGAAATTAGGATATTCTTGATAATGAATGTTTCATTTGTATATATTTATTATATGTGTCACCGGCAATGTATGAATGTAGGTATATTTATAATACTTAAGCGTTCTATAGAATGACAAATGCTATTTAGGTAAATTAAAAAAAATGTTAAAAGAACTACCATTTATCTTCTACATAAATGGCAATCCTAACAAAATTTTTGTTATCTGTTGCTTCTTAAGGCCGTTCCTTGCGTTTCTGGGCATACCTAAGTTCCAATGTAAAAGTTTATATCAAATAACGCAAAAACTATGGCAGATATTGAGATGATTCTTTTTTTATATGAAAGGTTTTAAAAAGTTCTAGTGCACTATTTAGTTGTAAATTAATAAATTGTTTAAACAATATTTTTTTTTCAAATATTTTTGGTTAAAATAAACGTAAAAAAATTTTTTTTGAAATAGGGCACTACAGAATTTGACCCACTTTCCGAATCTGTTTTTATTTTTAACATAAAGTGTAACACAAAGCAGCTATTTGGTATAAACTTTTTTTAAAATCTCAAATTTTGCTAAATGTAACTTTCTCTCTCGGCCAGTACAGGCTGTCCTTGTCGATAGTTTCTGGATTCTCGTCGACACGGTTAGGTTGATTAGGTAATAAGTATAATACCCTCTCGAAGGTGGGTCATAAATAATGTTGAATAACATTATTAGGGTTTATTTCGACTTTTGACAAACCAGTGTGTTAATTGTTTTTAAAATGGGTAGTTCACGAAGAAGTTTATGTTCCGATTGAGGAAATTTTATATAAATAAGCAGTACCTATAATAAGTACCTATAATTTGATTAAATTTTTATATGAATAGAAATATTTTCTGTTAATTTGTAACATTTTCCTTCTAAATGTTTATACTGTTTTTATAATAATACTATTGTTTCAGTATTTGCTTATATAATAATTTATTATGTAGAAACAGCGTAGAATTTTGGTCAATCAGCCAGTACATTTTTTTGTATTTCAATCAGAATTATTATTTTCTTTTCTTCTTTACATAAAAGCTTAGAGTAATACTCAAATATTTTGCAGTATTTGAATACGGAATTTGATTATTTATATTTATTGGACAATACCCAAATATTTTGCTGTATTTGAATATGGAATTTGATTATTTATATTTATAGGAATATTTATTTTCAACGTTTTTGTTAGTAAAGTTTACATAATATATGAAGTTTGTTTCTTCACTTGCTTGTCCAGCCATATTAGTCCAGGCTAATAAGGATTTTTTCGTGACACTCAATAATCCAGGTAGCTGACAACTTTTTTAGTTATTGTAGACCTATAAGAAGAAAACCTACCTGTTTCCTGCGTAAAGTTCGGAGCCGTTTTTTAATGATTAACAATTAATGCAAAAAACGCGATTCTTTCGATTTTTGCACTCTATTATTTATTTATTTATTTTTACGCACAATAGGCCGTTAAGGCCTAAAGCATTTTTTTTACAACATAATTCTAATATTAACTAATTACAATTATTTTAAACAAAACTTTAACGTAAATATGTATATATATAACATTCTTAACTACTCTGAAGGACCTGGTGTACAATATTTTTCCATTCGCTTCTATTTTGTGCTTTTTTTTTTCATTCCCTCACCTTCACGTGTTTAAGGTCTTCCTCCGCTTTACTAATCCACCTCGTTCTGGGTTTACCTCTTCTTTTGGGGTCGATTAATTTTCTGGTTATTACTAGTTTAGGAATTCTGTTTGCTGCCATTCTTTCCACATGTCGCAACCATCTGATTCTTTGTGCCTTGACGAACTTGGTAATAGTAGGTTCTTTGTATAAAGCCATTAATTCATTGTTGGCTCTTCTTTCCCAACCATCTTCTGCCTTTCGTCCTCTGAATATGCATCTCAATATTTTCCTTTCCTATCTTTCCAGAGTATCCTCTTCCTTCTTATTTAATGTCCAGGCTCACCGGCATATGTTACTGTGGGTCGAATTACTGTTTTATATATTCTGAGTTTACCTTGTCTAGAAACGTATTTTGAGTTCAGTAGGGCTCTTAAACCACCTAATTTTTTATTCCCTTTTGCTATTCTGGCTACGAGCTCCCATTTATCTTTTCCATTTTCATCGAAAACTACACCTAGGTATTCAAATTTGTCCACCCTTTTAAAACTATAGCTTTTACCACTTACTGACCTCATACTAAAGTCTTCTTTTTTCCCTTCTGTTCCTTCTATGATTATATATTTAGTTTTGTCTTCATTTAGTTCCAATCCAAATTTCTGTGCTTCTTCGATGATTTTCTTCACAACTCTTCTTAATTCTTACTCGGTTTTTGCTAGGATCGTTAGATCATCAGCAAATGCCAAGCACTGGTGCTCATTTTTCATGATCGTTTCTTCCATCTTCATGCTGCATTTTCTGATTACAGTTTCTAATACTAATTTGAATAATGTAGTGGATAAAGGATCTCCCAGTCTCAAGCCTTTTGCAACCGTAAATTGATCTGATATGTGACTCTGCCAAGCAGGGTGCTAACAGGTGAAGATGCTAACAGAGTAATGCCTCTATAGTTCTTACAATCCAGTTAATCGTCCTTTTTATGCAACGTATATTATTTCATTTAGCCACTCTTCTGGAACAAATTCATTTTGCCATATAAGTACTATTAGTTTATGGGTTACTGCAAAAAGCTGATCATCACCTTTTTTTATATATTTTCCAACAGATTTAATCGATTCCTGTGGCTTTATTGTCTTTGAGTTTTAGGACGGCATTTGACACTTCTATTATTGTTGGGTGTTCACTGTGTAGTTGTCGATGTAGATTTTGTTGATTGTCTATGTTGTAACCTCTTTCAATATCGTTTATATCATATATTATTTAAATATATATATATATATATATATATATATATATATATATATATATATATATATATATATATATATATATATATCAGTATGTTGGAAGTATCGGGTATGTGGTCTATATTAAAATAAAAATCTTTGTTTTTTCTAAAACTCAATATTTCGCTCTTTATTTAAAAGCTTCATCAGGAGTAACTGTAAAAAACAAACATTAAAAAAAAAAAAAAAACTGACGTACACTTAGATTTACAATACTTACAGACTTAAAAGATTTCACACATAAATAAATTTGATAGGTAGTAAAATAAACATTTTTTTGATAATATATAAGTTTGTTAAAATGTAAATATATATGAGCACGTTCGTTAACAGTAAGTAAATGAGATGGAAACAACTAAAAATTATTTCAAATGCAAAAACTAAAATATAAGAAAACAGAGGAATATTATTTCTTTAATTAATCATTAAGGCTAGTTAGTATGATTAATCATTAAGGTGAGTGAGTTTTAAATTTTGTTCAATATATTGCAATATATGTTGCTTAATTGCCCCGTGTCTGTTTTATAATTTAAAGTTTGTTTATTTTTGTTGATGTGGTACATCTCCAAAAATAACCTACTTTTGTAATTGTCAGTCTGTGCCAAAATACGAGTATTGTTATAGTCCAACAGATGACCGGTGTTTTTATAATGCTCGACTACTGCACAACTATTTTTTCCCAAGCGGCAATCACTTTTGTGCTGTGTGATACGTTGTTTTAGCCACTGCGATGTATGGCCAATGTAGCTTTTTTCACATTCTAGGCACGGTATTTCATATACCACATTACTCCTATATAAGGTTGGTACTGGATCTTTAATTTTGGAAAAAAGTTGTTTGCTATTTATGGTATTGTATTTAGCAATATTAATATTGGAAATATCTTTAAATATGGATATGACTGAATGAGTTAGACCATTGATAAAGGGAAGTTTTTTATATTTGATTGACTCATTGTTGGAATCAAGGACAGGACCATCATAGAAATTACTGCTGTAAATGAGTTTTTTTAAAATATGTTTAGGATAGCCGTTGTTTCGAAAAATTTTGTATAATATGTCCAGATTTTTCTGTAATAAATTATCATCAACAATGGACATTACCCTATTTTTCATACCCAATATTGTATTATATTTTTGACGAGTGGTGTGGTTTGAAAAGTAATTCATATACCTGCCCGATGCAGTTGGCTTTTGGTACCAATCCAATGTCAAGATATTGTCATTTGTTCTTATTACCTTTGTGTCTAAAAATGGTATACTAAGATCTGTCTCTGTTTCAATTGTGAACTGAAGATGTTTGTTAAATGAATTAAAGATGTTTAATGTGGTATTGATGTGATAAGATGGAACAGCACATATGATATCATCGACATATTTATATATAAATGGTAATTCGAAAGGTAATTGCGTGATCACATTGTCTAAGAGATGATCAGTTACAATAGTAGCAAGGATGGGACTAATCGGGGAACCCATAGGTGTTCCAAAAATTTGGGAGTAAAAATTTTCCAATTTTCCATCTAAGTGTACGTCAGTTTTTTTTTTTTTTTTTTTTTTTAATGTTTGTTTTTTACAGTTACTCCTGATGAAGCTTTTAAATAAAGAGCGAAATATTGAGTTTTAGAAAAAACAAAGATTTTTATTTTAATATAGACCACATACCCGATACTTCCAACATACTGATAAATTGTTTTTTGGTCGAAATTATCACATTAAATATATATATATATATATATATATATATATATATATAATATGATATAATAATAATGTACTTATTCTTCTTCTTCAAGTTCCACTCCTATCGGAGATTGGAAATCATTCTGGCAATTATCATTTTGTTGGATATGCGCCTGAATAGTTCAGTTGAATTGCATCCAAACCATTCACGGAGATTACGTAACCACTAGATTTTACGTCTTGATGTGTGATGTATGATGTGCCCCAAGTATTCTAATTTCCTGATTTTTATGGAATTTAAAACTTCGCATTGTTTTCCTAGTTGTTCGAGAACTTGTTCGGTTGTTTTGCGATCCGTGACCAAGCTTGAATCCCATATAAAAGGGTAAAGAAAATATAACATTAAAGCATTCTTATCCGGAGCGATATATTGATATCTCGATTACAAAAAAGTTTTCTCGTTCTATTAAAAGTTGACCGTGCAATTCCAATGCGGCATCTTATTTCTTTTGTCTAATCAGTATCTTCTGTGATCCATGCTCCAAGGTATTTGTACAAAGATATTTGTTCAATTTCTGTATTATCTAGTACTAGCTTAACTTTGATGCTTTGTGCTTTTGTAAATACCATGAACTTGGTTTTCTTCAAATTTATTTTTAGTCCAAAAAATGTACCTATAATATGATATAATCCTTATAAAATGTCTTCCGACGTTCATTTTTCATTCAATTCGGTTGTTCCATTGTTCTTTAAGTTCTTTCGAGCTCATTAAGTTTCTTATTCCTTCCATCTGTACCACTGTACCTTCTATTCTCATACTTTATTGCATTAAGTTCGACGAGATATCTTTCTTCGATATTAATCTGTCTCTGTTAATCGTCGTGTTTCACAACCGTATAAATAAAGCATGCTTTTTACCACAGTTTCATGGGATGTAGTACTAGAGAGAGCATGTCAGCTGTACCAAAACGAAAAATAATCCTCCTTATTGCTTCCACTGGAATAAGCTTGACCATTTAACTGGGCCCGGGCTACCTCTTTCTAATTCTTTAAACTCCTGTTTTGAAATTAATAATTATTTTGTCTAATTACCTATTTAGTTGTCAAAACAGATACATTGTTAACTAAAGAAGTGAAAGTGGTTCAATTTAGAAATTATTTAGTAAATAATAAATATTTGAAAACTGATGCACATATTCCTCCCGCGATTTATGCTTCAAGTGCTAATTTTATAAATCGCACTTCTACTAATAGACGTAAATTCTTTCATTTTAATTTCATGAATGTTTTTATTCAACATTATTTCAAAACCACACTGAATAGAAGGCCGCCCAGTCGTTTATTGTGTAGACCCAAGACTTTACACAATAGGGGGTTGTATAAGGTAGGTATAAAGCTTACCTCTAGTACAAGATGACGTTTAGAATATTCTTCGAGAATGGATTTTGTTTTTGTAAAGAAAGATATTTTTGAAATAGACATCTCTCTGAATTTTACCGTTACAATTATCGAGGATAAGCCTTAACTGGAAGAATTAAACGAAGGTGGCCGGGATAGAAGATAATTTTGCGAAGAAGTATTGATGTGATGTCTTTATAATTTTGACAGAAAAATTATAGGTTTCCATTTAAAAATAAATAGATGACGTCAACATGACGTCATGATGACATCATAATACAACTGAGTGCAAAACATTCGACTTGAAAGCGAGAATTTTATATTGCACTTCCTATTTCAATGTAAGAAGTATTAAAATAAAAATATGTAATGTAAAAATAGCAAGAGATGTCACCAATCGGCACAAGAAGTATCGGACGACCGTGCAAAAAAAGGAGTGACAACCTTCCATAGTGGTATTAATCCGCCAATGAACCAGCAGAATTGCTTATAAAGAGGAAGAAAAAGAAGAAGAACATTTTGAGCATACATTGTAAATTTCTGATTGTCAATAAACTTATTTTTAATGAATTAATTCACATTATCAGTGGCACAAAATAATAATTTTAACAATTAATGTTTGGATACATTTATTTATAAAACTATTCGATCAATCTGAAAAACCAAGTCTTCAAGGTTTTCTTTTTTCCTTTTCTGTTAGGTGGTCAACTTAAATATTCCACCCATCGATTTATTATATCAATCCTTGTTGTTAATAACTCTCCTTCCAGGCTTCTTTATTATTTTATAAAAAATTGAAATTATCCAAACGAATTAAAATTCGAGAACTTTTTCGGTCTTATCAGACCATTATCATTGAATCCACCATCGTTAGCTATTAAAACCAGCTTCTTCATTAGTTTGTTCCATTCCATTTCATTTTTTTTTTGTAGTTAGTTGCCGTTAATTGATAAATTACTATACAAATGTAACAAATAAATTTCAAACACAATGTTCACATTATGTTTACTTACCTGCTTATTTTGGCCATTTTCTATGTTGACTTCTACTTTTTTATTTATTAAATTTATTAATTAAATCAATGCATTTTTTATTTTTAATTATTTATTTAATGTTTAATTCTTAGGGAGCGAATATATCAACTAGAAAAGAAAGAAATGGAACTCGAAATGGAAGAAAGGAAACTCGTAGAAGAGAAGAAAAATAAAATCAATGAAGCAGCTAGAAAAGCCGATGAACCGGTGGACGATTCGAAATTAGTAGAAGCCATGTTTGATTTTCTACCTGATAGTTCAAGTGAAGCACCGACACCAGGTAATTAGTTATTTGTTTATCTAATTTAAAGGTGTAGTAGTGTAGGACACTGTCTAGAATTTTTAAGGGGCATGAATATGCTGTCCTACGTTAAGTTTCTATAAACTGGACATGTTTGTTATTTTTCTAGTTCTGATATTTACATTCACTTTACAGTTCGTCGTAAGTTGTTTTATTATTCATTTCTCGGTTTCTTTTACGTCGCTTAGATGATTAAGTGTACACCTACATTGGAACCGTATTTCTCCCGATCCGATATCGGGCGACGTCGGATTGAAAACAAACTCAAGGTATTAAATCATAGTGCCTATACTGCTTCCATGACGAATGCTTCCTCTGTTTCGTTCATCTGTACTTGGTTTCCATTCGGTTAACTTGCGTGTCCACCTTTCATCCTTCATCCTTGCCACGTGGCCAGCCCATCTCTGTTTCTTTTTCGTAGGTCTATGTTTTTGATGTATTTTATTATTACTTCTATCATTGATCAAGATCCGTACATATATTGAATCCAAAAAAACTTCGTACTTGCGTAAAAATTCTCTTTTAAAGACGAGGTATTCTGAATTTGTGGAAGGTAGCCCAAATTCTAATCGCTAAGCCAGGAAAATCTGCTGAGCACACAACATCCTACAGACCTATTAGCCTACTCCCTGCCATGAAAAAGTTACTAGAAAAATTACTCCTGGAGAAAATGGAAAAAATAATAAAAATTAATCAAAAATTAAAATTAAAAAAGGTATTACCAAATTAACAATATTTGACAGATATTCAAATAATAATGACACTACTGTATTTTTAGGTAGAGAAACTTCAGTGTTTAACGACCTCCCATCCAGGCCAGCAGAAAATGAAATAATTAGTCCTCTTACAACAGCCTCAGACGACGAAGAAGATCTTAGTGAATTTAAATTCCAAAAATTCGCAGCTACATATTTTCAAGGCAATGTTGGTCATCAGTATTCTAGAAAACCTCTAAAACATCCGTTACTACCTTTGCACACCCAAGGGGATCAACTGGTAAGAATACTCTTATTTCTTAATTTGTTAAAATTTTAAAAATTATAAAAAAGTAAGTTTAAAATTTCCGATGGTGCTTGGGCTGCTATTTCCGGTGGTGTAGATAAATATCTCTTGTGGATATAAATGGATACAAATTATAAATCCTCATGCCAGTACAGTTTTGCACCGTTTTGAAAACACAGATTTGAGCCAAATCCTAAATTCGATTTCCGATTTATATTCTCAATTTTCAATAGTTTTGTGGGAATCTCCAGCTACGATGTTCAGCAATGACTCTGGTGTACTCTTTAGTTTCTCTACTTAGAAAGAAATATGATACAATCTAGAAACCCGCCGCTGCTAATTCCTAGGTACATAACATTAGACGACTTTGAGAAAAACAAATATTGGAAATATAGATATATATTAACAAGGCGCAAACCCACATATTCATATATAACACCTTCAACCTCCATCCTAGTCAACTTGCTGGAGAATTTAATTTGGATCGTAAGACACGGATGTGTTTAATTAGAATCCGTACCGGATGAGGTAGATATACTGACATCCCAGCAAAGTAGGATAAGATTCAGTCTCCAACCATACAGTGGCGCCTGTAGCTCAGCTGCCAAGATTCTGGCATTCTATGCCGAAACATTCGAATTCGATTCTGGGCACTAAAAACAACATTTTCATTTTTAAAAATGATACTGAGCCGTGACCGTATTTCAGAGAGCTCGTAAAACTGTCGGTCTCCCTGGGCTAGCGTTTATCGAGACTTTCTACCTGAAACAGGATTAAAGATACAATCGGCGTCAGAACAATTAGAAGGAATCTGCCCGGCAAAAAGACTATCTGGTATTAATATTATTATCGACCCATATAACCGATTACTTCTGAATACGTTCTCAGAGCCATCGATGCCCATGTAGTGACGCTGCCTTAAAGCAACATCTTAATAAATATATTTTATTATTTATATTATTTTCATTTTCATGTAACGTTTGCATTTGCCTTAATTTATGCTATAGGGTAAATAAATAAATAAACCTAGATATGTGTAAAAAATAAAAACACGGGTTCTTCTTAACATTAAGTAGAAGACAAATGCTGCCTTATCGGAACATCAAAACAAGCGTTTCTGTATGTGCTACAACTCTTTAATTTACAAAATGTACGTGCAAAAACTATTAAGATGTGGAGCAGAGGTATAGTCGAAATATCACGCCAAATGACAAAGGAAAAACAGATGTAAACAAAAAGAGCCAAACCAACGACATGGTAAAATTGATAACAAAAATAAGAGAGTTAATTACAGCATAATAATCACAGATAGTGCGGAGTAACATCTCATAAACGAATCTCATGAACGATTTTTGATGACATTCAAAAATATGATGGGATTATTACGAAATTGGTGAGAATCAACTTAACAGCAATTGAAGTTTTACTTTTTTCATACATTTCCTCAAAACTTACCAAAATATGGTTTTTGGATATTGAAGTGTTTCAATAGACATTTTTAATAATACAAAAAAATACAATCACTTAAAAACATTTATTTTTTAATTTCAGGCGGCTCAAGCATTATGGATAACGATTCTGCGTTTTACCGGCGATCTTCCAGAACCACGTTACCACACTATGGACAGAGATAATACATCGGTCATGTCGAAAGTAACAGCTACTCTCGGTCGAAACTTCATTCGTAGTAAAGAGTTCCAAGAAGCTCAACTAATGGGCTTGGATCCAGATTCTTACCTAAAACAAAAACCAAGATCTATTAGAAATAAATTGGTATCATTGACGTTAAAAAGAAAAAATAAATTAGGTGAAGACGTAAGGAAGAAGCTTCAAGATGAGGAGTATACTGCCGATAGTTATCAATCGTGGTTAGAGACCAGGCCGACTAGTAATTTGGAAAAATTACATTTTATTATTGGACACGGTATACTCCGGGCAGAACTCAGGTAATTTTTTAATTTTGAAGTATCAGTTGTGTGAGTTTTTAAAGCATGCGTTGATAGATATATAATAATATACATATTATCACTTCTCAAACCGGTATTGATGCTCCCTAATTCTCTTTTACTTTATCTTTGATAATTCGCGGTTTTAACAACTGGCAACCCTTTTTTGTGACCATTTTTTTTTTTCACGCAATCTTATATCATAGTTTAAAGACAATTAGCTTTAATTTTATATAAAAAACATTCTAATTGTGTGTTCTTCTAATGTAAATGTATGTAAAAAACGTGTGCTTGATTAATTACGTTATGAACGTAGTGATCCTGTAGTGGGATCTTATACTATTCGCTGTGAGCCGATGAGTAGAGGGGATTTGACAGTTTTCACCAACGCTGTTAGTGGCAGTTTTGTGCATTTAACTTGTAAACATTCAAATAATGGCGAATATGGATTTTTCAAAAAGAAAAAGATATAGCAGCTGTTGTATTGATACATGTAAAAATACTGGGTATAAGTGATTGTAAATTTTATTCATTTCCTGTTGCCAAGCATAAAATATGTAGTTCAAAGAGAAAAATGGATTATTGCTATCAATAAGATTTTTGGTGTAGCTGGTTAAAATGGGATATCATGTGATATAGACTTAAAACCAGTATAATGTTCAATATCCATTTTGATAAAATTAAAATAGATTGATATCTAAGCACTAAGGCCTAAGCACACAAAAAATAACAGCAAAAACAGAATGAAAATGCAAAATGAAAACAAGAATTACAACGTTACAAGCATGATACTATGACTAACAAGATAGGATCTTTCCGTAGCACAAAATCGGTTGTGTTCACGCATGCCGTCATTGGAGAGTAGAATTTGAATTCTTGTTAAAGTTAAATGGGATTTGTACGCATTCTGTGATGAAATTACTAGACGAAGATAAGTTCAGAGGTTTAATAATTACAATAATCGTACACATAAGGATATCTCCAAACTATTTAATAAAGATTATTTATTGATACACACAAAAAACTGACATTTCGAACGTGCAACTCTCCAATGACGTCACGTATCATGGTTACAAGAGGTAAAGGTAACCTTTAACCATTAAATATTTTCACATAAACTTCTTCTTTTTCTCCATGGCCTCTTACGTAAGTAGTCATCCAGTCGCAGGAACTTATATCTTAAATATTAAAATTATAATGAATAAAATAAAAAGGCGTAATTACTTTTACTATTAATTCTGTGTATTCGTTCAGTAATCAGTTTACAATAATATTTTAGTTCATAACTTTGTATTTTTATTTAAATATCTATTTTTCTCGTTTTGTCATATTTCACTTACACAGATTTTACAAGAAAAGTGCAAGTTTCAAACCGCGAGATAGCGCTACCGTCGAAGCTCACAGCGAATAGTCACAGAATAATAAACAATCAGAATGTCCACTCTCAGATGCCGCCTTTAAAGTTTTTCAGCACGCGCGCCATGTTTTAGAAGGAAACACATAACACAGACATATGATTTGTGAGGTTATGTAATTGTTTATATTTATGTTTAATTATATTATTATTTATGTTATTATATTTAACATTGTTAATATAATTGTATAGTATGTCTATGATTGCCGTAAGTCAATTAAACCGGGTTAATTTTGTCTATACACAACACATAAACAACACTGGTTCCCTCTAAAACATGGCGGAACGTCTGCGTGAACGAGATGTGCGTACTTAATTTTCCATGGAGAGTGGGCATTCTGATTGTTTATTATTCTGTGCTATAGTCAGATAACGCAATGTCAACAAGATATATGAGCGAAGATGCAGGTGTGTTTGTTTTTACACTTTCTCCTGATGCCTTTTTTTACGCCCCAGTCATAAGACACCGGTTTTTTTCTTTGGGAAACAAGTTTTGTCCTTAGGGAAATAGGTTCACTTTGTATACTTCTTTGAAGAACCACCCAGAAAACTGGGACAAATGAAAATTTTGCAAAGAACGTTTTAACAAGTCTTTTTAAACAATTAGCACAACCTATTTTGGACGCCGATAACTTGATTATTCTTCTTCATGTGCCTTGTCCGTTTCGAACGTTGGCAATCAACATGGCTATTCTGACTTTGTTTACGGTTGATCTGAATAGTTCAGCATGTACATGTCTTTGTTCATATCTCTGCAGCGCTGGATGAGTACCTGTAGACTAAAAAGTGCTTCTCTTGTCCCAAGAGAATTCCGAAACCCAAACTGCGAATCTCCAATGTTATCCTCGCATTTTTTGCTTATTCTGTTGTAAATAACCTTGGTGTATGCCTTCGAAATGTGGTTAATTAGATTTATCATCCGATGTTGATCACAAGACTTTGCTTTTGGTTTTTTCGGTATGGCAACAAAAGTTGACTCTAGCCAGTCTTCAGGAAACTCCCCGCTGTTATAAATATTGTTAAAGAGTCTGACGAGTGAGTCTAGAAATTGACTGTTTGTTTCGCACAGCATTTTCAATACTTCCCCGTATACGTTATCGTTGCCTGGTCTTTTGTTATTTTTAAGACCCTTTACAGCATTCTCCACCTCTGATTTTATAATAGAAGGGCCAGTATCATCATTGCTCAGTGTATACCCACTAGGACGGTCATCATTAAACAGTTGTTCCACATATTCGATTTCTTCGCATCTCTCCGAGAACCATTTCTCTTTAGTTTTTCTTATCTCAGCTCTTATTCGTCTATGGGTTTCACAGTATTTGGCAGTATCTTTAGTATTATATATCCGTCTCTTATCCATCATGTCAAGGATTTCTAACTTGATTACGATAGCTGATTTATGAAATTTAGTTTGAATTTATGTGCAAAAACTAGATAACTTGTCGGTGATACAATATTGTCACGAACTGAGTAAACTTATTAATATACCGACTGGTACTCATACCCACTCCCTTCAATCACTCCGCTGGTAATCGTTTCTTAAAATTCAGAAATCGCCCCCCTGACCCTAGACGTATATAAAGGATATTTAAACATTTAAATTACCTTCGACTCTCCTTTCATTGGGAAAACTACCCGAGAAGGGTATTTTTCAGCTTTCCTTACTGTTGGAAATTTTCGAATGACTCAAACCGATAATTTGTAAATTGTTAATCCTTTCATTGTTATGATTCTTTGACGATTTTAGAAGCTTATGTCTAGAAAGTTATTTGAATGCAAGCTATCGGCGCGGTACAGATTATTAGATAGTACAAAATAATTTTATAAATTTAAAACTAATATACAGTGTGATATGATGATATGATCCAAATTTAAATAAAAATATTACATATTGTTGTTACGCAACAATATAAGCTGCGGTAATTAACCAGCTTTAGAGATTTGTTTGAAAACCGTGTCGTTAACAAAAACTCTAAAAATCTGAAATTTTATGTATGGTGTAAATAATTACATATGCTAATATGAATTTCTAGTCAAAGAAGCCGCCAGTTGTTTAAAAAATTAGTAGTCATATTTGTTACATGCCAAGAACAACTGTTATATGAAAAATTCAATAAATTCGATTGATGTGCAGGTAGAAAGTGAATATGCTTACCATAAAAATAATATATTAATTACCTAATAATATAATTAAGTAATAATTTAAATTTTCGTTTCAGAGATGAAATATACTGTCAAATTTGTAAACAACTAACTAATAATCCTTCTAAATCGTCACATGCGAGAGGATGGATTCTTCTTTCACTTTGTGTCGGATGTTTCGCGCCGTCGGAAAAGTTTGTTAGTTATTTAAGAGCTTTCATCAGGGAAGGTAAGAATATTTGAAATTACATAATTTTTGTATAAAAATTAAATTTAAAACAAAATTTAAAAGGGAAATTCCCAGTAATTAGCTGTATACCATAGTTTAAAAAACTTACTTAATTTTTATTTTATTTTTAAAAATTATACCATTTTACTAGTAGAAGTTTTTACTTCATTATAAATTTTAAAAAGACATACTTCTGCGATTTTGTTAATATTGTTAGATACATTGCTAAGGCACTCACGTCTAGCCTTCACTTTTAATATATTTTCTGTTTACTCTTAGTTACTTTTAACGAGTTTCCCATTATATTTTTGTACGTTACCAGCTAATGTCAAAGACATTCGTCTTTGGTTTACTCTCTCTCCTGTCGTTTCCTCATTGCTGAGGATCGTGATTCCCTACAATGCGGGCTGTCAATTCTCTCCATCTCTTGCGATTTTGGGCTGCTCTCATGGACTCGGAAAACGTCTCTCCAGTGGCTTTCTGTACTTGATCTGACCATCGGATAGGTGAGCGTCCTCGGCCTCTACGTCCTTCTACGTTTCCGCACACAATTAGTCTTTCTAAGTTGTTATTGTCTCTTCTCGCAATGTGGCCAAAAAACTTTAAAACATTTGCAAGACACTGAGAGGAGAGTCTGGTCTGAATGTTTAGCTCTTCGAGAATCGACTGATTGGATCTGTGCTCCGTCCACGAGACGCGCAGCATTCGTCTCCAGCACCACATTTCGAATGCGTCAATCCTTTTCCTATCCTCTGATTTTATTGTCCATGTTTCGGCACCGTAACTAAAGATTGAAAAAACGAGTGTCCGTACCAGTCTCATTTTGAGTTTTTTGGACAAAGAGCGGTCCTTCCATATTTTTGACAGTCGACTCATCGCGTTCTTGGCCATTCCTATTCTTCTGCGAATTTCCGTATGGCAGGAGGCTGCATTGCTTAAGGAAGATCCTAGATACGTGAACTCGTCTACTTTCTCGAATTGATTTAGGGCGCCTGTTGTTTGGAGGATATTCGCGTGGTCCACAATCATGATTTTTGTTTTCTGATTATTAATCTTGAGCCCACACTTGTTTCTTTCGGTTTCTACTCTCTTTATCAGTCTCGACATCTCCTCTTCAGATGTTGCTATCAGTGTTGTATCGTCTGCGAATCTTAAGTTTGAGATCTTTTTCCCTGCAATGGAGATGCCGCCTCTCCATCCATCGAGTGCATTCCTCATTATTATTCTCCATATAAATTGAACAGGTCTGGAGATAGTATGCAGCCTTGTCGTACACCTCTGCTGGTTTTAAAGGTATCAGATTGCTGGTTTTTAATTCTTATTTTAACTGAGTTATCTTCGTATAAGTTTTTAATTAATATTGCCAAATGATCTGGAACTCCCATCTCATGAAGAACTGTCCAGAGAACTTCCCACTTTACACAATCAAATGCCTTTTGGTAGTCTAGAAAACAGATTATTATTGGAATTTTAAATTCGCGGGCCTTTTCTATGAGCTGCCGCATATTAAGGATTTGCTCTCTCGTACCCTTCCCTTTGACAAAGCCTGCTTGTTCTTGGGGAATTTGGTTGTCTAAGTACTGTTGCAAACGGCGTTTAATGATTCTTAGTAATATTTTGCTTGGATGGGAAATCAGTGAGATGGTACGATAATTACTACACTTTGTAGTTGTTCCTTTTTTATGGATTGGTATGCACAATGATGTGCGCCATTCTCTGGGCCACTTTCCGCATCTCCAAATTTTATTACAAAGTTTCCACATTATGTAACATCCTTTGTCTCCCATGTTCTGAAGGAGCTCTCCCGTGATATCATCGCAGCCAGGGGATTTATTCTTCTTGAGGTGAGTTACAGCTTCTTTAATCTCGGACAGCAGAATTTCAGGTTCAGGGTTGTATTCAGTGTTTTCGAGGGCTGAAGTGTGGCCTAGATTTACGTATTCTTCCCTGTAGAGCTCTGAACAATAGTTTTTCCATGTTTCCAACACTCTGTCGATATCACTTATGATAATACCATGTTTGTCCTCTATTGCATAGTTCTTGGGTTTAAATTCTCTCGCAAGAATTTTCACTTTCCGGAAGAGGTCTTTGGTTTCATTTCGATATCCGTGATTTTCTATTTCTTGGCAGATTTCAGAGATGTATTCTTGTTTGTCTTTTCGGCATCTTCGTTGAATATCTCTGGAGAGAGCTTTATATGTCTGTTGATCACAGGGGCCAACTTTAAGTTGCTTTCTTTGTTCAATCACTTTTGGTTTACTATTGCGTCTAATTATATGACTTCTTTTCACAACAATTCTTCTAATCCACCGTGTATTTTTCGCTCTTCTTAAGTATTTCCTATTTCAAACTAGATATAGTTTCATAACACATATATACCTACTACTCTGAATTTGCTATCAACTTCCAATTGTGCCAATCGCATACCGTTGTTGCTAGTAAGATGTGAACTATATTTTCCAAAGACTTAAATCTAATATTTTCATAATTTATCATGCATCTCCCATAACTATAACTGCTTCTTTTTTTTATACTCACTTTAACGTTCCCCTGGAGCATGTCATTAAATTAATCGCCACCAATTCGTCTGCTACTTTGGTTGGAATTTAGATATTTCTTTTTATAACGTTATGGAATTCATGTTGAAAAGGAGTGAACCCCAATTTTGAACTGCAGCAGTTATTATTTACTAGAAAGCTTGATGGTATTGTTGTCTTTATTAATTCTAATTTATTGTACTAAAACACGATAATTTATATCAATTTATTAAACCACTATACAACAATTTATTTTCGACTAATAATTACATAATTTATTTATACGTGCGTTACATTTTAAAACTCGACTCGATTTATCTTCTCTGACTGCCTGTTTTCTAAAAAGGTCCCGTTATATACCCATACAGATGTTAGACTAGAAGAATGTCGACCCTTGGCGAAAATACTGGAAGGCTACGGCTGATTTTTCATTCAACGTATTTCCGGAACGTTCGAATGGACCGGTTCTTTTTTTATTACTTGCAATTTCAGCCAACTAGTCGAAGGGTCGTAAAATCTAGATATTAGTGAATAAACAACATATTTACAGGTTGTTAATATGACTCATAGTTTTTTAAGTAACAGTATTATCTTTCTGCTTTGTATTTTATTTCTTTTCTAGTTTTGTATCCACTCCCATTTCTTCTGATCATTTATAGAGCAGCTATGCGACTTTGTAATTCTGAAATTAGCTTATTTTCATTCATTCATTCATTCAAAGTTCTTAATGTTAACATTTTTCTCATATTCTTATTCTGTAGCTTTATGATTCTTTTCTTATACATCGATAACTTTCTCCACAGGTCCGCCAGGTTATGCTCCATATTGTGAAGACCGCCTTAAACGAACTTTCAACAACGGCACTAGAAACCAACCACCGAGTTGGCTAGAACTCCAAGCAACCAAGTCAAAAAAGCCTATAATGTTACCTATCACGTTTATGGATGGAAATACGAAAACTTTACTAGCGGATTCAGCTACGACCGCTCGAGAACTCTGCAACCAGTTATCAGATAAAATAGGATTAAAGGACCAGTTTGGATTTTCGTTATACATTGCCTTGTTCGATAAAGTGTCTTCTCTAGGTAGCGGAGGAGATCATGTTATGGATGCCATATCACAGGTAAATATCAAAACAGATAAATTTTATTAAAAATATAGTAAATTCAGAAAAAGTTTGCTTTGGGGACTTACAGGGAATAATTACACAATTTTCATGTTTTCAGTGTGAACAATATGCGAAGGAACAAGGTGCTCAAGAACGCAATGCCCCATGGCGATTATTCTTCCGAAAGGAGATTTTTGCTCCGTGGCATGAACCTACCGAAGACCAAGTCGCAACTAACTTGATATACCAACAAGTTGTCCGTGGAGTCAAATTTGGGGAGTACCGATGTGATAAAGAAGAAGATCTAGCCATGATAGCAGCCCAGCAGTACTACATAGAATATATTAGTGACATGAATGTGGAGAGACTGTTGACGCTTTTGCCAAATTATATTCCAGATTACTGTTTGACTGGTGTAGAAAAAGCGGTGGATAGATGGGCAGCGCTTGTTGTTCAAGCTTATAAGAAAAGTTACTACGTAAAAGAAAAGGTAAGTAAAAAATTCTCTTACATATTTATTTAGATACAATACAAACTTTTGAAATAAAATTGTTATTTGGACTTTCAAAAAAAAAAAAATTTAAAACAAAGCAAATTCTAGAAATTATTTCAGAAATATTTTCTATTACAAAAACTTTCATGGATATTGAAATAAGCGAGTTTTTTCAAATACAATTCGAGCGACATACGTTATAAAATAATATAGCAACGGTGGATACTGCGTGAAAATTATTTAAGTGTAATATCATTTCTATAATCCAAATTCAATAGGACTGTCAGGGCAGACATTTTGTAGTTCGTAAACACTTGATAGTAAGCGGCTATATATTTATTTGTTTATTTAATAGCACACAATTTACTTCTCAATTATCATTTTTTCCGCTGTAGTCCGAACTGGATAAAGTTGTGATTGCATTATGGCGAATAAAATATTCCGAAACTCTATAACATCATCCATAACATATCCTGGTGCTGATATCGGGTCGGACCATAATCCACTGGTAGTTAACATCAGACTAAAGCTGAAGAAGATAGAAAGTGCAAAAGCAAGAAAATACGATTTAGGACCATTAAAAATGAAGACACCAAGCACCAGATACAAACCTATATAGAAAAAGAATTAAAAAATACAGACAATGCTAATGGAGCAGATAACGAAATGGCAAAGCTACAAAAAATTAACTAGACAATCCTAGATAAACATCTTCGTCCAACAACGGTTAAAAAGAAAGAGTGGATTACTGATGAAATCCTAAATATGATAGAGAATAGTAGAAGAGCTAAAACAGAGACATATGAGGGTATAAAAGAATCGACAAAGAAATAAAAAAATCTATTAGAGAAACCAAAAACAAATGGTTGGAAGATCAATGCAGAGAAATAGAATCATTGGAAAGTAGACACGACTAGTTTAATCTCCACAAGAAGGTAAAAGAGGCAGCAGGTATGTACAAACCCAAGAGATCAGGATATATGACTGATGATCATGGCTACCCGGTAATAGATATTGAACAAACAAAGAATATATGGAAGAGATACGGTGAGAAGACATTCGATGACGACAGAGACAACAACCAGATAATTATGGAGTACGATACAGGACCACCAATCACTCAAGACGAAGTCAAAGCCGCAATTAAAGCAACCAAAGAAGGTAAATCACCAGAACCCGACAACTTTCATTCAGAATTTCTAAAAATCATGGGAGACGAAGGAATAAAATGGCTTACGACAACGTTCAATAAAATCTATGACTCGGGAACAATCCCAGAGAGCTGGTTAAAATCTACATTTATTGCTATACCTAAAAAAAACCTAATGCAAAAAAATGCGAAGAGTCTAATCAGCCTTCTTAAGCATTATTAATAAGACCTTCTTAAAGATAATACACAGAAGAATTTATCAGAAATGTGAGTCACAGATCTCACGAACGCAGTTTGGATTTAGGGATGCGTTAGGTACAAGAGAAGCCTTGTTAGCGGTTCAGGTATTATTTCAAAGGTGCAGAGATGTCAACTGCAAGACCTTCGAGTAATCAAGAACATATACTACAACCAATCAGCAACCATTCGGGTGAAAGACCAACTAACAGAGGAAGTTGCAATAAGGAGAGGAGTACGACAGGGCTGCATACTCTCTCCCCTATTATTTAACGTCTATTCGGAACACGTCATGAGCCAGGCCTTAGAGCACATCGAGGAGGGTATTCTCATAAATGGTGAGCGCGTGAATAACATCAGATATGCAGACGACACCATACTCATTTCAGACAGTTTAGAAAGTTTACAGACGCTAGTAACGGAGTTGTGGAGAATCAGTACAGGCTTGATTTTAACATCAAGAAAACAAAGTATATGGTCATCAGTAAGAAGCATATTCCACCTAGTCAATTACTGGTAGATCAGCAACAAATACTCCAAGTGCCCCGTTACTACTATTTAGGAACCACCATAAACGACCAATGGGACCATTCAGTTGAGATAAAACAAAGAATTGAAAAGCCAGGTCAACATCCATAATAGATAGGCACCACAAGAAGAAGAATTAGGCTCGCCTTGTTGCGAAATTTCGAAATTTTTTATTTAGTACTGCGTGTAGCTTATCAGTGTCGTCGAGGTATGCCTGAATGTCAAGAGAGGGACAGGAGGACAATATTATCTTTTTCGAAAGTAATATTCTTATTGTAATACGGCAACATTGTTAAAACTCACCGGCAAATAGTGGAAATAAATATTAAAATCAGGTAGTCAGAAGTATTTCATGAGAACACAGTCGGGTAACATGGAATCAAAACCAACGTGCAGTACATCTGTTGCTAAATCGGATAAAAAGAGGTAGTTATCTGTGAAAGAAAAGAAAAAAAAATCATTTTATTTTAAAAATATAAATAGGTACATAAAATCATTATTCCTATATCAGTACGTGTAAAGAAGTCTAATGTAAAGGTTGCCTTTCGAATTGGTCCTTACATGAAAATATATATGCCACCATTGAACTACACTCGTCTCTCGTCTCTCCTTTCGGGTCCCTCTGAGAATCTATCATTTTAAAGCGATACCCTGACAATCCCATTGAATTTGGACTGTAGTTATATTTTGTAGTTCCGCATAACTACATATACCTAGCATGAAGTTAAAGAAAGTGTTGCTTCAAGACATATGGTATGGTTGTGGTCTCCCGTTGTCTTACGAAATTATTCGGATCACAGATATGTTCTTGTACTTGTTTGTTTATTTATAAATATTATTATTATGCCCAAATCTTAACTTGCTTTAAATAGATTTTTTCAAAATTAAAAATATACCCACTTTCTAAATATTTCTGTACCAGCTCTATGTCTATAAACTGTGATATATTAGAGAATATTAAACATGTTTGCTGCGTTTTAAGATGTATTTGCTTTATGTTCATTTCTTGGACTTTCATACCTGTATATTGTAGAATATTTGTATACATTTTTTATCAGATTCCATTAATTTATGTCTGCATTTCAGGTTCCATCGTTACGAGTGAAAGAAGACGTGGTTAGCTACGCAAAATTCAAGTGGCCCTTACTGTTTTCAAGATTCTACGAAGCTTATCGCAATTCAGGCCCAAACCTTCCGAAGAACGACGTTATTATTGCGGTCAACTGGACTGGAGTTTATGTTGTCGATGACCAGGAACAAGTTTTACTGGAACTTTCTTTTCCCGAAATCACGACAGTGTCAAGTCAAAAAACGAACAAAGTGTTTACTCAAACATTTAGTCTGAACACTGTTAGGGGGGAGGAGTTTACTTTCCAAAGTCCGAACGCAGAGGATATAAGGGATCTGGTTGTTTATTTCTTGGAAGGTAAAAAAGTATAAATTATTAAATAGTATATCTTGTCCCTGCTCAATTTATTGGATTTAACCATAAACATTTCAGTTTTTTTATTTCAATCGTACTGAAAGTATGTTCATTTGGATAAGGTGTTGAATGGGTTGCATAACTATTGGGTACATAGTTACATAGAAAGCGGTATACTCGGTTCGCTAATCCCAGTCCGAACTGTCTAGTGATTTTAGTAATTATATTTTTACTAAGTTAGTTACTTTTTGACAGACTAGAAGTGGCTGGAAATTACTATACAACCAAGCACACGTGCTCATAGCGCATTTTATTAGAGTATTTCGTCGACCTCTTTTGCAAACTTATACTATGACTTAGAAATGGTTGCGCCAAATGTAGGCAACTAACTTAAACTTTTTATTATCATTTAGCTGCAAATTCTTGAGAATATATTTAATAAACGTTTAATAACTTCCAGTTAATTTATTATTTTTTTAAAAGTAATAATAATGCTGAATAAGCAATATTTCAAATGATTATATAATGAGAAGACGTACTTAATATTGTGTTATATAATCTTCATAATAAAGTACGTTAGATAAAAAATATCATAATATTCATATTTTTATTCAAAAATATCATTCATCAAAAATATAATCCAATATCATCAAAAATATAATTCAAAAATATCATAATATTCTATTATTCCTATCAGAAGCTAGTTTTGGACGACCCAGGATTTTAGTGTTGTAGGTTTCCGACAATGAATCTGTCAAAATAAGCCCGAGCCACAGAATAATAAACATACAGAATACCCACTCTCCACGGAAAATTAAGTACGCGCATCTCCTCCGCGCAGACGTTCCGCCATGTTTTAGGAGGATTTTAAAGAAATTATGTGGTGTGCATGGAAAAATTAACCAGGTTTATTTGACTTACGGCAATCATAGACATACTATACAATTATATTAACATTGTTAAATATAATAACATAAATATAATATAATTAAACATAAATATAAACAATTACATAACCACACAAATCATATGTATGTGTCCTCCTCAAACATGGCGCGCGTGCTGAAAAACTTCAAAGGCGGCATCTGAGAGTGTCCCTTCTGATTGTTTATTATTCTGTGCCCGAGCTAAGCGAATGGAGTATATAAATTTATCTTATAATTGTCAAAAATTTACAGGTGACATAGTGATATTAGAATGTGTTCAAAGTGTGGCGTAACTAATTGTTGTACATTTTGAGGTTTTTTTACTTAAAACATAGATTTGTGGTCAGTTTATTTCAAATTTGCACTAAGTAAGTATTGACAATATTACATAATAGTGTTAATTTTGATTTTGGTTAATTCTTAATAATAAAACAAGACGATTAATCTTGAATTGGAATTTTTAGATGGGTAAATTGTTGAGAAAATCTCGTCCATTACTGCTCTATTAAAGAATATAGCACTTAGTCACAGAGATGTAGCACGAAAATGTGATGTATCCTAGTCGTCAATGATAAGATTGAGTCAAAAACTCAAAGAGAAGTAACCTGAGACGTCAGTTCGGAAAGGCCGGTGTGGCAAAAAAACTTCAGTCACTCCCAGAGCGCAACAAATTTAAAAAAAATTAGCTGTAACACATAGAAGGCCACCCATAGAAATATAAAAAATAAGTTGGAAGAAGCAGGGTGCTCAGTATCGGTGGCCACCGTACTCCGAAATTTGTATGGCATGGGCTTCAAATGTCGTAGGCCTGTTAAAAAGCCAAAACTATGCTCAAATGCTCAAAAAACGCTTAGCTTAGGATAAGATCCATAGAGACTGGTCTATTGATGACTGTCATAAGATAAATTATTACAAATCATTTTATTTTCGCACTTTATAATTGTTATTCACATTCAAATGTTTACTTCAGCGATGAAGCCACATTTCAAATTATGGATGACAAGGGCCAGTTTGTCCGAAGACGTCCAGGGGGAAAATATAAAAAGGGGTGTGTAATTAATTCAATTAAAAATCCCACTTCAGTAATGATTAGGTCGGTGATTAGCGGCAAAAGTATAGGACGTTTTTATGTCGTAGAAGGAGAAGGAAGCATGCGACCGATACAAAAGGGTTTTGCAGACAAGATTGGTTTCACAAGTGAACGAATGGTTTGGTAACAGCCATAAGATATTTATGCAGGAGCACCTTGCAATATGGCTAAAAGTATCAAAAAATTTTTGTAAGAACAAGAAATTCCGCTCTTACCATGGCCCGACAACTCACCAGACATGAACCCCATTGAAAATTATCTGGGAGTGCCTAAAAAACAGTTAGCCAAGGAAATAATTACCAACAAGGTTCAGTTGATGGAAAGAATCATTTTCCATTGGAATCACACCGAAAATTTAAAAGAAATCACAGGAAAATGCATGAACAGCATACCTAGTAGAGTGGTTGCACTACTTAAAGCCAATAGTGGCTTAACAAAATATTAATGTTATAGTAAAATGTTGTAATAATTTACGTTGTTTTTGTTCAATTATTATACAAAATGGTTACTACTATCATCCGTGTTATGTTTCTTACTTATGGCTAATTATAATAATTGATTATAAAGTACAGAAAACTAGAATTTGCTAAATGAGTCTAATAAATTGAGCAGTGACTTATATAGTTGATTTTGTATGACAATAGATTATAATATATTATGCATATTATTACAACTATGTTCTTTTTTTATTACAGGATTGAAAAAGCGATCAAAATTTGTAATAGCTTTGCAAGATTACAAGGCGCCAGGAGAAGGGTCGAGTTTCCTGACGTTTATGAAAGGTGATCTAATAATTTTGGAAGAAGATAGTACGGGTGAGACTGTTTTAAATTCCGGATGGTGTGTAGGAAGGTGCGAGAGGACGCAGGAAAAGGGCGACTTTCCAGCAGAGACTGTTTATGTGTTGCCGTGTATGTCCAAACCCCCTGCCGATATTTTGCAGCTGTTTTCAGTTGAAGGTGAGTTTTTATGAATTATAAAATTATAATAGCAATAATCCCAGATATGTTTGTAATCAAATATAAAACGCAGGCCAAAAGGAATAATGGCTATTATTAAAAAACATTTGGTAATATGATAATTATATAAAAAAATTTCGAAGTTATAATGATGTGAATTATTTAATAGAATTTGTAAATATAATAATATAATAGATAAAAATACTTGTGTATTAAAAAATATTAAAAAACTATTCTAAGCGGCCTAGGCAGGATATACTTATGAAAGATACGTGTATCTGTCTTTGTTGCCGAATTTTGGGGATTGGATTCCCAACACAAAATCAAAAATTATTCCCCAGTTCGTCGGGTAGACCATGGCGATGGCCATGTACAGGTCTAGTGGATAAATACCATATTTTCAGAGCTACTTAACAGTTTCCAAAACGTGTTTGCTGCCTGCAATGTAATACTTCGCAGTGACCTGGAACTCTTAGTATATTTCGACAAGAAATTGAGTGGGGTGACACATAGATGTAACTTCTTCTACTTGTAGTTCCTTCTCCTATCAAAGGTAGGCTATCATTACAGCTATCCGTACCTTATTGGCGGCTGCTCTGAAAATATCTACTGAGCTGCAACTGTACCACTCTTTTAGGTTTCTTAGTCAGCAAATTGTTTGTCTTCCTATGGATCTTTTACCCTTGATTTTACCTTGCATTATGAGCCTTAATATCTCATATTTCGCACCTCTGGTAATGTGGCCTAAATATTTCAGCTTTCTTGTTTTGATGTGATTTATGACCTCGCAATCCTTTTATAGCCTTCTTAACACTTCTGCATTTGTAACTCGTTGGGTCCATGGTATTTTCAAAATCCTTCTATAGCACCACATCTCAAATGATTCCAACTTCTTTATATTATTCACTTTTAGTGTCCAGCTTTCCATTCCATACAACAAAATACACGTAGCATCTTAAGACTCTTATCCTAAGATCCAGAGGAAGGTCTCGATTGACAAACATTGTTTTCATTTTTATAAATGCTTGTCTTGCAATTTCAATGCGTGTCCTTATTTCTCTACCTTGGTCATTGTTTTAATTTACCCAGGTTCCCAGATATTTGTAGTTATTCACTCTTTCTACTTGTTTTCCTCGATATCCAGCCTTCCTACTGTATGTTGCGTGGAAATAATCATGAACTTAGTTTTCTTGACGTTCATTTGTAGTCCATATTTGATACTGACTTGATGTAATCTATTTACTAAGCGTTGCAATGCTTCTAGACTGTCTGCAAAAACAGCGGTGTCGTCTGCAAATCTTATGTTGTTTAGGATTTTTCCGTTTATTGATATACCCTGTTGTTCCTCTAATATTGCTTCCTTAAAAATAGCTTCGCTGTACAGATTGAATAATAATGGGGACAGCACGCAACCCTGTCTAACACCTCTTTTGATTTCTATTGTTTCTGTATCGACATTTTCGATTCTAACCTTTGCTTTTTGTTGATTCCAGTACAGATTGACAATAACCCATATATCTCGACTATCCACATTCTTTTCTTTTAAGAGTTTTACGAGTTTCTGATGTAGTACTCTATCAAAAGCATTTTGATAATCTATAAAGCGGACATAGAGATCCTGGTTCATATCTAGTCGTCTTTGCGGGAGAACGTTAAAAGCGAACAGAGCCTCCCTCGTTCCTAGTCCTCCTCTGAATCCAAACGGGGTGTCATCTATATCTTCTTCTATTTTTTTGTATTCTTCCATGTCTTCCATGTTATTCTTCTTATGTCTTCCATGTATTATTTTGAGAAATATCTTAAGTGTGTGGCTTATCAAGGAAATTGTTCTGTACTGGGAGCATTCCGTCGCATGTACTGTCTTTGGTAGTGTTACAAACGTCGACAGCAACCAATCTTGGGTATTACTCCTGTTGTATATATTTTGTTAACGCATTAACGTTAATGGCAACAAGTTAAACCACCTCAGATTCGTTGACGACATAGTGATTATAGCGAGCAAATTCCAGGCACTGCAAATTATGTTGGGGGAACTAGCAGCCAGCTTCCAATACGTCGACCTAAAAATGAATATGAAAAAAACAAAAATAATAACAAACACAGATGACCCCAGACATATAACTATAAACGGCAGTGAAATGGAACAAATCCAGGAATATATCTACCTAGGCCAAATCCTGAGACTTGACAAAGAAAACCAAAGTGCGGAAATTACTAGAAGAGCAAGACTAGCATGGGCAGGATTTGGAAAACTTAGTTGGATACTTAAGAATCGCAAAATACCCCAATACTTTAGGAGCAAAGTGTTCAACCAATGCATCCTTCCTATCATGACATATGGATGTCAAACCTGGACCCTAACCAAGGCAAACATGAATAAACTAGCCACAACAGAAAGAACAATAGAAAGAGCAATGTTAGGTATACGACTGTCAGATAAAAAGAGAAACGACTGGGTGAGATCCAAAACAAAAGTCGAGGACATAACAACAAAAATTGCCAAACTTAAATGGAGCTTCGTGGGCCACACTGCTACCAACGTTGGAATACTACAATACAACATTGGAGACCTTACGAAAGTAAACGGCCAAGAGGAAGACCATAGATGAGATGGGTTGATGACATTAAAAGAATAGCTGGAACAAATTGGAAATATGTTGTTCAGGATAGAGACCGATGGAAGGAGTTGGGAGAAGCCTATGTCCAAACATGGACGACAGAAGGCTAAGAAGAAGAAGAAGATATACTTTGTTGAACAGATCTAAGAGTGTATGCAGTGTTTCTTCGTCAATGCATTTAATTAGCTCAGTGGGTATGATCTGGGCCTACTGATTTTGCGGTCTTTACATTTCTAATTGCCTGTTCTAATTCACACATTATTATTTTCGGTCCTGTTTATTCCTGTGGTTCTTCTTGTATCAGTCTATCATCGTCGAATAGTTTCATTGTGTATTCTTGTCAAAATCTTAGTTTAAATTTGATGTCTGTAATGAGTTAACCATTATCATCTTTGAGTATCCCATAGTGTGCTCGCTTTTTGGTATTTGTTAGTTCTTTTATTTTTTTATGCATATTAAAGCCGTCGTATTTACTGTCATACTCTTCTATTTCTATGCATTGATCTGTTAACCTCTTTTCCTTGGCCTTTTTATCTCTATTTTAATTTTACTTTGTAGTTCTTGGTATTTTGGCTCATTTCTCCCTTTGGCTTTTCTCCTCTCTTCCATTAATGCTAGAATTTGTGAAGTCATCCATTTCTGTTTTTTACTTGTCTTTTCAGGCTTTAAATTTTCTTCTGCAGCCTTTAGTAATGCCTCCTGAATATTGCTCTACTTTTCATTAACATCTTCTGATGTTAAGATTTCTTCTCCCACTTCTGTTAGATTTAAGTTGACTTGTTGGATAATTTTTTTAAGTATTTCTCTTTTTCTTAATTTTGTGTAATCAAACATTGGTTTATTTTTAGGTATTAAAATATTTTTGAGTTTCACGTGGATTCTAGCTATCAGCGGGTTATGGTCAGAGTTGACATCTGCTCCGGGGTATGCTTTTACTAATTTAATTGAGTTTTTGTATTTTTTTTACTAATATATAGTCTATTTGATTTCTAACTATGCGGTCTTTGTTGTCTGCAGGAGATCTCAAAGTGTACAGTCTTCTATCGGGTAATTGGAACATTGTATTCATTATAGCAAAATGTTCATTTTGACAAAAATCTACAAGTCTATCCCCTCTTTCATCATCTAGTCCAAATTCCGTCAAGTCCAAAGTAGGTATATGTATTAACAAATATTTTGCGAGGCTGTACGTTACGATTGCTTTAGTAGAAGCTAAGATATGATTTTTTTGAAATTGCCAACTTTTGCCCTGATTTCGCCCTTAAGGCGCTTATTTTTTACCAAATTTACGTAGTAAAAGTATTTTCAACATCTAATTTAACTTTATTTTTATTTTGCAATACATTGTTAATATTAACAAATTATCTGCAATTCGTAAAAAAAATATATTTAGGTTTTTTATTTCAAATGATATAAAGAATCCATTACACTTGGTATGGGTTACACTTGATGGATCAGTAGTCTTTTATTGGGAGCTATTTGTTTTTTATGCATCTTAATTTAACACATTCCTAGTATCAAAATTCGGGATGTTATTTTTTAATTATTCCTTCTTATAGAGAAAAAAAGTGAAACTAATTTTAACCAAGAATATTCACAGTGATACATTGTTCTACTTTAGTATCTACCAGACAACTGGCGCACCTAAAATGTTTTTATTGTCGAACTAAATGCATTTCAAGGTGACTAGAATATAAATTAAGAATACTACTGATTTTAAACAGCATGTCAACGATTTATATTCAAAGGAAAATTTGTTTTCAGAAACACGTAAATGTGTCTTTGGACAAGAGAAATTGAGGGTACTTTTACTACAAAAATTAAAATAAACATTTGTGTTAAAATCCGTGACAAATGTCTGCAAAAATTGTGACGGAGTAACTCATTCTTTTTTCTATTTTCATAAGATATACTCCGAAAGAAAATTAATCATACTCTCTCATTAATAGTTCCTCTTTGCGAGAAAATAATCTCAAATATTTAATTTCCAAATTTTAGCGGTTATATTGCCTACCACATAGGGTATTACTTATAGGAGGTTGAAAATTAGGGACAGAAATTACTGGGCTCGAGATAGGGTAAGCAAAACAAATGGGACGTTTGCAAACGGCTACTCTTGGTTTGTTTGGAGAGCTGGGTCGTGAGAATGTGAATAAAACGGACTTAAATGGGGTAACTACAAAAAGTGAATCAAAAGGGTAACTACATGGATTTCCTGGACAACACAACAGAAGAAGTTCCTAAGCTATTTAAAATGGACGTGGCTTACAAGAATCTTCCTGCTGGGTGGAAAGATAGGCTTTTCTTTCCTAAAAAATCTTTTTAAAGGAAACAATACTCTTGGTTTAGTTAGAAACATTACATATCTATTATTATCTCACC